AACACACTTGGCATTCAGTGGAACTGGGAGGTATATGGGGAATGTGGCCTCACCTCGCTGCCTGTCCAGGGAAGGTTGGGAGGACGTGGGGACGGAGGGGGCCGGGGAGATACCAGGATTCCCTCCCTAGGAATCCCCCAGGTGTCCTTTCAAGCTTCAGCTTCCAGGGGGACCCTTGGGCCCGCTCCTCTCCTGCCCTTGCCCCCGGGCCTGTTGGTCAGGTTGTGGGACCGAGCTAGGGAGCCTCGGCCATGCTTGCTCGGAGTTTGGCATGGGCCCTCACGAAGGACCCAAATTCTGCAGTCCGCACCAGAGTCGGCTGTGCGGAGCAAACTGTGGCTTGGAGGCCAGTGAGGTGGAGGCGCCCGAGTTTGACGCCAGGAGACAGGCCAGTGGCTTCACGCACAGGATTACTGGATGGGCAACTCTGAGCAAATCACTTACAAACTCGGTTTGGTCTGTAAATTGGCCACAGTAATCCCTCCCATCCCAGCCTCCCAGGGGCGTCGAGCTTCAAAGGAGACCCAGCACGGGGGAAAACCCTTTGCACCCAGAAACGTTGTGCTTTGTCAGATGTCAGCGGCGCTGGAGAGCTGAGGTCTCCAGCCTGAAGCTCCTGAGGATGTACCTAACAGAGAGACACGGAGGTCCCCCATTCTTATTCTTCTTTTTCCTCTTACACGCCTGCTTGTCTTTCACTCCTTCCTGCTTCCCTTGCCTTCCTAGTGTTCTTTTCTACTTTCCACACATCCCTCCTTGACCCTCAAGTCCAGCCCCCTTCTCCAGCCACAGCCTGCCTGCCAGCTCACCTGTCCAGGGAGACGGCAGCCAGTGTGAAGCTGCTGGCATGCATGGTGAGGAAGATGAGGAAGTGCACCGCCTTGCAGAGCAGCGAGACGAACACCCAGTCGTCCAGGGTGTAGATGGTGGCCTGGAAGGGCACGCAGCACACGATGAAACACAAGTCGGCCACGCCCAGGTTGAGGATGAACAGGTTGGTGGTGTTGACCGCCTGGCCACCACGAAGCAGCACGGCCAGCACCAGTGAGTTGCCTATGGTGCCCACGAGGAAGATGAGCGCAAATAGCATGGGAACGATGAGGCTGCCAGCTACCCCGGCCGCCCGCCTCGTTCGTGTCCTCGGTGTTCAGGCCACCCGAGCCATTCATAGTGCCGCTGCACCGGGGCTGCCCCGACTTCTGCAGCCGTCTGCGTCCTGGCGAGCGCGCAGCTCCGGCGGTTTTCAGCCGCTGCAGCGCCCAGAGCGATTCGGTGGAGCTGCGGACGGAGTGAGTCTCGCTGAGGCTGGGGCAGGAGAAGCGGGTGCGCTGGGGGCAGGGGAAGGAGCGAGCAGCCGAAGGGTGGGGTGTTCCCCCTGGCGGCCGGCCGCGCTGGGGGAAGGACTGTCCAGTGGCCTCGGCGCGCCCCGGCCAAGGCACAGGCTGCCCACCCTTGGGGCGGAGGGCCGCGCCAGTGTCTGTTCCTCGGCCCTCCGGCGTCGGCGCGCTCCAGCCTCCGACTCCGGGCTGTGCCGGGCTGAGCAGCGAACCGACCTCCGGGGCAGACGCCGGAGTGGTGGAGGGACCGCCTGCCGGGAGCGCTCGCCCGCTACCCCGTGCGCCTCGGCACTTCCCTGCAGCCTGGCGGGCGCGCCAGACCTCCTGGGGCAGGCTGGGGAGCGTCCTCGAGAGAGTTGCAGGTGGGCCCTAAAGCGTGGGGTGGGAGTGATGAAGGGCGGAGGCGGATGAGAGTGCTGCCGTTTTCCAGAACTGGCGAGTGGGACGGCCCTGCCGTGTGCCCCACGCCTCTTCCCACTTCTAATTCCCAGGAACAGCGGTAGGGATGGTGGAAGGATTTCATTCCCTTCTCTCCCTCACTGAGCGTCTCCCCCTCCAATTCAGTCCGGTAAAAATTTATTGAGCATCTGCTGTGTGTCAGGCTCTGTTCCTGGCGCCGTGGCTCGGTTTCCTCAATATTACAATATGGGCTAATAACACCTTCTCAGAGGGCTCTGGTGAGAATGGAATGACGTGTGTGAGAGACCTGAGGCCAGTTGGTAGAATCTGGATGAATCCAACTCTTCTTCTTTTTCTCCTCACCCTATTCAGATATCCAGCAAGGGGAAACTTAAAGGAAATACAAAACAGCAGAGGACCATGCATCAGGAGCATTTTCCTAGATAGCCAGGAGGGTGTTTAGGTTGCAAAAAACAACTTAAATATTTGTTTCTGATTTTGACATACTAGGCATCAAACACCCGTGACCCAGAATCATCACTGTTTCTATATAGTTTTAAAACTGGGTTTGAACATCACTACCTTCTGTGGCTTGACCTCTGCTTCCCCTTTCCTTGCCCTGTTCCTTGAGTCCTAGTCAAAAACATTCTTTTTCCACTTTCCCCTCCAGGATCTCAGCCTCAGGAGCCCAGCTACCTGCTCCTCTTGGTAAGGAAGCCTCATTCACACCTCTGCCCTGCCTGCTTATTCACTGAATAGGAAGATAATGACCATTCATGTTTCTGAGATGCTTGCCATTCATTTATTGAATACACGTTTATAAAGCACCTACTCCTTTCCAGGCACTGTTCTAGGTCCTTGGGATTTACCAGTGAGCTCTACAAAGACCAAGGCCCTTCATGAGCTTCCTTTCTAGCAGGGAAGAGACAAATATAACTCAAGTTATTAATCAATTACAAGTCAAGTACTTGCAGGAAAAGTAAATCACGGTGAGGGAATTGAGAGTACTGGAGTGGTGGTGATGGTGCAATTTAAAATGGGGTGGTCAAGCAGACCTCATTAGGAAGGTGACATTTGAGCAAAGAGTTGAAGGAGCTAGCCTAGCAGATAGCCAAGGGAAGTGCATTCCAGATAGAACAGCCAGCGCAAAGGCCCTAAAGCAGGAGTGTGCCCGTGTCCCTAAGCAAGGAGCGTGGTATGGCTTGAGCTGAATGAACAAGAAGGAGATTGGCACGCGAGAAGGTGAGAGGCATAGCATGTAGGACTTTTTTCCCTTGCAAGGAAGTCTTCTAATCTGACTAAAAAGCGGAGCCATTGCAGAGTTTTGACTAGAGGACTAACATCATCTGACTTACTTTTTTAAAAAAAGCTTTATTGAAATATAATTCACATACCATACAATTTACCCATATAAAATGTTCATTTGTTTCTTAATATATTCACAGAGTTGTGCAACCATCACCACAATCAATTTTAGGATGTTTTTGTTCCTGCCTCCCACCCCTAGCCCTACACAACCACTCTTTGTCTCTATAGATTTGCCTATTCTGGACATTTTATATAAATGGAATCATACAATATGTGGCCTTCTGTGTATACCTTCTTTCACTTAGCCTAATGATTTCAAGATTCATCCACAATGTAGCATGTATCAGTACTTCATTCCTTTTTATGGCCAAATAATATTCCATTGTATGATAATCACATTTTGTTTATCAAATTCACTTGTTGATAGACATTTGGGAGACTTACTTTTTTAAAAATTATTTTTAATTTTTGGTAAAATATACAAAACACAGTTTGCCACCTTAAACATTTTAAGTGTATAGTTCAGTAGTGTTAAGTATATTCACATTGGTGTGCAACCAATCTCGAGAACTTTTTGATCTTGCAAAACTGACAGTCTATACCCATTAAACAATAACTCTCCATTTCCCCTGCCTTTAGCCCCCAGCAACCAATCATTCTACTTTCTATGAATTTGACTACACTAGATACCTTATATGAGTGGAATCATACCATATCTTTTCACGACTGGCTTACTTAGCACAATATTTCCAAGCTTCAATCATGTTGTAGCATGTGTCAGAATTTCCTTCCCTTTTAAGGCTGAATAATATTCCATTGTATGGACAGACCATATTTTGCTTATCCCTGAGGGCCGCTGGGTTGCTTCCATCTCTTGGCTATTGTGAATAATGCTACTATAAACGTGGGTGTACAAATAACTCTTCAAGACCCTGCTTTCAATTCTTTTGGATATATACCCAGAAGTGAAATTGCTGGATCATATGGCAATTCTTTTGTCTTCCACTGTGGATGTACCATTTTATATTTGCACCGAAAGTGCACCAAGGTTACAACTTCTCCACATCCCCACCAATACATGTTATGTTCTGTTATTATTGTCCTTTTAATAGTAGCCACCTTAATGGGTGTGAGGTGATCCCTCATTGTGGTTTTGATTTGCATTTCCCTAATGATTAGTGCAGACTTACTTTAAAAATACACCATTTAATTTAGTCTTCATAACCACCCTAATTGGTTATCCCCATTTACAGATGAGGGAAAAGGTTTATGAGGGAGATTATTTGCCCAACATCTCCCAACCAGTAATGGCAGAGGCAGAATTGGAGCTGCAGAGATCAGACTCCAGAGCTCGCAGTGCCATATTGCAGAGGAAAGATTCATGGTATCCCTCGCTTCAGCACTTCTCACTCCGCGGACTGCTCGACCGGAAGTCCAGGGAAAGGCACCGATCCCCATCCATTAGGGAAAGTCCCTGCACTATGGTCGGCTCCAAAGGAAAGCGCAGACAGAGGCGGTTCCTCCCAGGCGTGGTGTTTCGTTGCGTACGGTGGGAACCCCATCTCCGGAGCCCCCGGGGAGGTAGACACTCCGAAATCCAAAGGTCTTAGCCAACTGCACCCGCTCTCTGTGTGCGGGACGTGAGCCGGATCCCCTGTGCAGGGATGCAGGAGGTGTGGGAGGGGGACATCTCCGGATCCTCCACCCTTGGTGGATGCGAAGTAGGATTGCCCCCAGGAGACCTCAGCAGTTACGGCGTCCGCGAGCTTCCGGGCCCTCAGCCTAGCCCACCACCGTTTGAGACCCGGAAGCCTAGTCCACGCGCAGGCGCACTCCAACAAGTGGCCGCTGCCTGCGGGCAGGGCCGTCGGCAGCGGAATCCGCCGGTATCCCGTCAGCCCATCCGAGCCGGCTCCGCTCTCTCTCTCTCTCTCCCCGGTCGTCCCGCCTTCTCTATCCCGTCCTGCTCTGCGGCGCAGGGGCAAGATGGCTGCTGAGAAACAGGTTCCTGCAGGCGGCGGTGGTAGCAGCAGCGGCGGTAGCGGTGGTGGACGCGGTGCCGGAGGAGAGGAAAATAAGGAAAACGAACGGCCTTCAGCTGGATCGAAGGCAAACAAAGAATTCGGAGATAGCCTGAGTTTGGAGAGTATCCTACAGTAATCGGGCCTAACTCGCAATGACTACGTGTCGATCTGGCGGGCCGGGGGCGGGAGAGGCGGCGGGTTGCGGCACGACCTGGGCAGGAGAGGCCGAAGGTTGCAGTTTCTCTCGCTTCTACTTTTTGGCACTTCAGAGTTTCAGGGTCTGGTTTTCGACTGGCCTTTCCTCGCATCTTCTTTGTCTTCCAGTCTGGGGAACCTCCTCTTCTTTCAAGCGGCACCGGAATATTGGGCAGTTTTCTTCAGTTTACCCGCAGTTGCCCAGTTGGAGGGCTGGTGATGGGGCTGACACTGGCCACTCTGATGAACTACTGCCTTGGCAACTGGGGCCACTGAACTGGGGAGAGGAAACTGCAGTCTTGACCTTTTGGCCTAATACTTCTGTCTGACAGCTGTCGGGGAATGCATAATAAAAATTACAGTTTGATGCTTTGGAAATGGAGGCAAAAGTTACGTGTTGTAAGGGAAAGCTTATTGCCCATTTTGAATATAAATCATTGTAGGTTGTTAACATTACTTGTATAGGTTTCTTAATAGGTCTGTAGACCTTTTATCTTGTTGAGAGTCATTCAGATGAATCGGTTTCTAGTTTTCATCAGAGTGTACCACAGTTGAGTGTTGATGACATTAGTTTGTGGCTTTTTGAAATGAATAAGTAGTGGAGAAAATGTAGGTGAATTTCTGAAATAATACATTTAGCTTGACATCTTAATATAGTGAAGTTTTCAGGAGATTGAAGTTTTACTTTTTGAACTGGCGGTATCCTTTCAAATGGATGTTAGAACGCCTTGATTTCACTGCACACCTTATATATGTTTGTCTCTTTTTAGTTATTGAAATAGCCCTTTTATTGTTCAGTGTTTTAAAATACATCTGTAAAGAAGCATTGAGGAAACTTTAAAAGAAAACTAAAATTGTAGACAAAGGTCGTTGGACTTCCTGAAGTTTGGGACATAATCTTAAAATATTTTAAGGTTCTTAAAAAGGAGAGTTTGCTCAAGGCTTTTTTTTAAAAAAAAGAAAAACTAGTATTTTAATGCAAACTGTGGTCTGGTTTGGTTGGCATGTGCTCACCATAGGCACATGCAGCATCACAGCTGTTAAGGACAGTCAGATTTGGCAGATGTAGGAGGTTATGCAAATAGAGGAGTAGTACACGTCATTTATAACCTGAATCTGCTAAAATGAGTAAAACATTGGGTCCAGGTGTAAATCACTGGGAACCACCCCAGATGTAGTCAGTATTTAGAATCCAGCAGCTTTAGCTGTTGGGTCTCATTAATCCTCAATGGCTAATGATGCCCTCCTTTTTTAGTTTGAAAGTAGTAACAGTTCAGGCAGTCAACTTTTCTACATGCTTAGCCCTGGTCCTGTCCTATGATAAGAGAGCTATTGAAAATGCTTACCAGAGATTTCACTAATGTACTAAGTATTTCAGAAATGTTTAATGTGCTGTGATTTGATACAGATGTAGACCAATAGTACTAATATAGATGAATGTTTTGAGTTATTTGGATTCTTGGCACTGTAAGCTTTTCCTTAATCTTGGCTCTAGTTCTTCAGATTATTAAGGAATCCCAGCAGCAGCATGGTTTACGGCATGGAGATTTTCAGAGGTACAGGTTAGTATCGTGCGCAAGATATGTACAAGTCTCTGTGGAATTTTCAAATTTGGTTTGCTTTTTTACTATCCTACTTACTCTGCTGTACCAGAAAGTATACCTAGAAAGTCTAGTTCTTAACTTGTATTGAGTTCTCAAGAAGATGCTTAATTTTCAAATTTAAAAGGAGCCAATCTTTTTATCCATTTTGTCTCACAGTATTGCAGATAACATTGGAGGCTTCTGCTGAAAATAATAGTTATGGTAATCTTTTTTTTTTTTAAACTTAACCGTATTGTAGGATCTGGGTTACATTCCAGCTGTTGGCAATCACTGTTCTGATTTCCATTGTTATAGTTTTGCTTTTTTCAGAACATAGCCTTTTGTGTCTAGATTCTCTCACCTAACAGATACTGCTCAGTAGTATTCCATTGCAGGGATGAATCGCAGTCTGCTTTTGTTCCCCAACTGAATGGCTAGTGGTTGACTCCGATTTTTGTTTTTGTTTTTTCTAGTTATTATTAATTGTTTTCAGTGTTACATTTTTAATTAGATTTTTTGGTGGTAAAATATTCATAACATAAAAATGACTTTGATGTGTACCTTTTAGTACGTTTTTAGTACATAAATATATTTGTATGTATGTGCCTACCAAGTAGTATTTTTGTTCTCCTAGTCTCTTTCTATGCATTATTTTCATGTTTGCTCATATCGTATATACAACTTTGTATTCCGCTTTTTTGCCTAACGTTATATGGTATGTATTTCTCCATGCCTATAAAAATGTTCCATACACGTGATTTTTATTAGTTGCATTATAACTCAATATATAGGCCTACCATAATTTATTTACCTATTCCCCCAAGTTGGTTATTTATATCGTAGCCAGTTTTGTAGGTTTAAAAATATTGTTCCCGTGAATCTCTGTTCATACCTCTTTGTATTTCTGATCATTTCTTTAGCATAGAGTAGTATAGAAATAGACAGTCAGTTCAGGGAGTGTGAACATTTTTAAGGATCTTGATAAATGTATCCATATTGCCGGAAAATTTTTACCGATTTATATTTCTACTCATAATGTGTGAGTGTCCCATTTGATTTTTATGTGAAAGGGTAAGTGATAATTAAAGCATAATTATGAATCGAGGGAAAAGATCTAGTTCATAGATTCGGTCAGACTATTACTTCTTTTTAATAACTTGTGCTCTGGTAGCTTTTTTATTTTAATAAATTTATTTATTTATTTTTGGCTGTGTTGGGTCTTTGTTGCTGCACTCGGGCTTTCTCTGGTTGCAGCGAGCGGGGGCTACTCTGCATTGTGGTGCGCGGGCTTCTCATTGCGGTGGCTTCTCTTGTTGCAGAGCACGGGCTCTAGTCACGCAGGCTTCAGTAGTTGCAGCATGTGGGCTCAGTAGTTGTGGCTCATGAGCTCTAGACTGCAGGCTCAGTGGTTGTGGTGCACGGGCTTTGTTGCTCCGCGGCATGTGGGATCTTCCCGGACCAGGGCTCGAACCCGTGTGCCCTGAATTGGGAGGCGGATTCTTAACCTCTGCGCCACCAGGGAAGTCCGCTCTGGTAGCTTTAAGACTGAGATTTTGAAGTACCATTTAATATCATTTTGCATTGTAAATTTTGTGCTATATTATTTGATTAAGGGTGGTAAAATTTTACATGTACTTTTACACAATTTAGTCAAAATACATTTACTGCACATCTGTATGTTAGGCACTGTGCTATGACATTGGGGGAAACTTGAAAATAAAATCATCTTTGCACTAAAGGAGTTTATGTTAGTGAGATAGACATATTAAGAACATAATATAATGCGCTCATATTGTAGTAGAAGTAAGAATAAAAAGTTGCATGAGTACAGAAGAGAGAGGCTTGGCATAGAGGTGATGTCTATAGTTTTCTTATTTATATCCTAATTAACCTCCTCATTTTTCTTCAAATATGCTTGCAGTTTCTTTCTCCACGTCTTCATTGTCATCACAGTCTCCCTCAGGATGCCCCTTCTTCCCTTTTACATCCATCAGAATCCTACTCATTCTTTCGAAACCCACCATAAGTCCACTCCAGCAAAGTGGGTTAACAAGAAGAGAATGATTACTTGTGTCCTATACATTCAATTTGACATTGGCCTTGTTTTTTTTGGTTGCCATTCTATCTGCATGATTCTCTCCAACTAGAGTATGGGTTCTTTGAGAAAGGGTACTGTGTCCTTGTCTCTTCATGTTTTCTGTGATACCAGTCATATTGCTTGCAATTTTCCATTCAATAAATGTTTGCAAGAGGATGGTGGTATCTATAGCAACCATATAGTAGAATACCCTGAACTTTTGACCTTACCTTATTGTAGAATTTACTATTGAAAGTATTATCAGCTTGGCCGAATGATTTTTGGTTGTGGTTTCCTACAGAGGCTACTGTTCCCGTAGACAAAGACGTCTTCGGAAAACACTCAACTTCAAGATGGGGAACAGACACAAATTCACAGGGAAAAAAGTAACTGAAGATCTTCTGACTGATAACAGGTATTGACTGCCCAGTGCTAAGTGCTGAATGCATCTTGCTAATACATTTATTGAACAATTACAGCGTGACAGGTGTTGTGTCAGACTCTTAGTTATTTCACGTGATCCTGTGGGATAGACATCTTTACTACTCCTGTGTTATAAAATGAGGAGACTGAGCCTCAGAGAGACTCTCTAACTTGTTCAGGAGCTATGGTAGAATGGCAGATGTTGAAGTCAGCGATTAGACTCTAACTGGTTATTAGGTAAGGTTTCTAGAACGCAAATCTCAATGTCTGAGTACTTACTTAAATCATTATGTCTTAAGTGAAATCTGGACATGTGTAAATTATTACAGAAGAGTTTTGTATTTCAGTGCTCAAGGCATTCATGCTTAACATGGCAGGATTACTCTATGAAAGCAATATGTATTAAAAGTCTATGGGTCAGTTCCTCAGACTTTGACCTGTGAGCCAAAATGGTCTTCCTGCCACCTGTTTATTGTAAGTAAAGTTGGAACACAGCCACACCATTTATTTAGATATTGCTTACAGCTGCTTTTGTGCTACAGTAGCAGAGTAGTTGTGACAGAGACCATAGGGCCTATAAAGCCTAAAATACTTACTGTTGGGCCCTTTATGAAAAAAGTTTGCTGCCCCCTGGTCCGGTACGTGGCCAGAACTGAGTTAGACACCATATTGGATGTAGAAGAGTTGGGGAGGCATAGTTATTGAACCTCATTGACTCTGATATTGTTGAGAGATATTGGTTGAGTACAGAACAGGGAACACTACAAGATAGCAAAACTGCTATATTGTGTGTAATTTACTCATAAGAATTCTGAAGTCTTGGAAGGGAGAAGTTAGTTTGGGGGTTCTTGATGGGGAAGCCAGGAAGCCTGCATGGAGGAGGCTGGACCTTTAAGGGTTTGTGAGAGGAAAAGACATTCTGTGTTCAGGGAAACAGCATGCCATGATGTCTTTGAATGCAGTGTAGGAAATGTAATGCTCTGGGCAGTTGTTAGCTACTGCTCAGGCAGCAAAGAGGCTCGGAGCTTGGTGTATGAGACACAGTCAGAAAACTAGAGCATGATGGGATGAAGCAGGATGGATTGATTAAATCCAATGAGATCGAGTTAGGAAGAGTCTGTTATAACAGTGAGACCAGGCTAAGCTACAGTTAAAGGAAGATTAATCAAGGCAGTAGTTTAAAGAAAGATTCACCATAATAACAATGAAGTAGCCAACTTATATAGCATTAGTAAGTGCCAGGCTCTGGTCTAAGTGTGTTATATGTATTATTGCATGGGAGAGTGAAGCACAGAAAGGGTTAGTATTTTGCCCAAAGTCATACAGTGGTGGCACTGAGATTCCAATCCAGGCTCTTAACCACTTCAGTATACTGCCTCTCTTTGCACAGCGAAAGAAACCATCAACAAAATGAACAGGCAACCTATTAAATGGGGGGAGATATTTCCAAATGACATATCCGATGAGGGGTTAATATCCAAAATATATAAAGAACTCATATAACTCAATATCAAAAAAACAAACAATTTGATTAAAAAATGGGCAGAGGATCTGAATAGAAATTTTTCCAAGGAAGTTATATAGATGGCCATCAGGCACCTGAAAAGATGCTCCACATCACTAGTTGTCAGGGAAGTGCAAATCAGAACCACGATGAGATATCACCTCGCACCTGTCGGAATAGCTGTTATCAAAAAGACAAGAAATAACAAGTGTTGGTGAGGATGTGGAGAGAAGGGAGCCCTCGTGCACTGTTGGTGGGAGTGTAAATTGGTGCGGTCACTATGGAAAACAGTACAGAGGTTCCTCCGAAAATTAAAAATAGAACTATATGACTCAGCAATTCCACTTCTGGGTATTTATCTGAAAAAAACTCCCCAAAACACGAATTAAAAAAGATACATGCACGCCAGCGTTTATTGTGTAGCATTGTTTACAATAGCTAAGATGTGGAAGCAGCCTAAGTGTCCACTGAAGGATAACAGATAAAGAAGGTTTTATATCTAAATCTATGTCTATATCTATATTTATATGTATATTTAAACCAGAGCTCAGAAACAAAAACAAGGGATGCCAACTTCATCTTTTAAAAGCAAGATCAGGTTACATATATGTGACTCAGCCATAAAAAAGAATGAAATCTTGCCATTTGCGACAACATGGATAGACGTAGAGAGTATTATGCTAAGTGAAATTAGAGGAAGACAAATGCTGTATGATCTCACTTATATGTGGAATCTAAAAAACAAATGAACAAACAAAAAGACTGGTGGCTGCCAGAGGGGAGAGAAGTGGGAAGGGGTGGGTGAAATAGGGGAAGGGGATTAAGAAGTACAAACTTTCAGTTATACAGTAGAGTCGCAGGGATATATAATGCACAACATAGGGAATATAGTCAATAATACAGTAATACCTTTGTATGGTGACAGATGGTGACTAGACTTCCTGTGGCGATCATTTCATAATATATAGAAATATCGGATCTCTGTGTGGTACACCTGAAACTAATACGATATTTTAAGTCAGCTATACTTCAGTTTAAAAAAATACACACACACGCATATATATGTATGTATACACTGCTTCTCAAGGACTTGGTTTCTAACTGAGTTGGGATGAAGGAGCTATGATTCAAAGATGAGGCCAGATTATGTGCCTAGACTGCCTCTATTTGTTAAATTTGGGAGGGGTAAGTCTGGGTTTGCCAAGTTTGAGGCAATAGCAGGCTTTTCAATGAGATGTGTCTGATAGGTGGTTAGAAACCTATCAGAGATGCTGATTTGGGAGCCATGGTTGATACTGAAGAGCAGCTCTGAGGAGGAGAGCAAGGCAGAGCATAGGGAAAAGTTGAGAGGCCAAAGATTGCACGTCAGAGAATATCTGAGTCTGGTGCTCCTGGCCTTTGCTGTTCAGTTGGCCCCTTCTGTCTCTGGTTTAGATATTTGCTTCTGGTTCTGATGGATGCTGAGAGAGCCTGGAGCTATGCCATGCAGCTCAAACAGGAAGCCAACACTGAACCCCGAAAACGGTTCCACTTGTTATCTCGCCTACGCAAAGCTGTGAAGCATGCGGAGGAGTTGGAACGCTTGTGTGAGAGCAATCGTGTGGACGCCAAGACCAAGTTGGAGGCTCAGGTTAGTGTCTCAACATCAGCTTTGCTTTATTGTGGAGCTTAGAGACGTAAACAGAACAGAGTTTCTTACATTATATGTTTGTAGTCAGGAGAGGAAAAAACCTAATCTTGCTTTTAAAAGGTGAAGTTGGCTCTTGTTTTTGTTTTTGAGCTCTTGGTTTTTAACAATTAGCTCTGACTTTTAAGAAAGCCCATGCTTCTTTTGATACGTGCATGGAGAACTTGTATCTGGGAAATTCACAAAATAAGAACTTTTTTCTTAATGAATATTTGAAAAGAGATGAAAGATATTTCAACTTTTAATGCTTATGTTATAGCCCAGAAGTGGGTTGTTAAATAAAATGAAGGGAACAAATTTTCTTTATTTTGAAGTTCTTTCCTAGGAAGTAAAATGAATCATAAAATTACCTGTGTATCACATTTTATTAGTGAAATAAATTTTTTTCTTTTAGAATCAACCTGAATATCTCTGTATTCTTGATATCAAAGTTCGAAGCAAGTAGAGGCGGTTGGGCTGTCTGGTTGTCGGGTGTTGACGCAGTTTCTCTTTCCCATCACCTTACAGGCTTACACAGCTTACCTCTCAGGAATGCTGCGGTTTGAACATCAAGAATGGAAAGCTGCCATCGAGGCTTTTAACAAATGCAAGTGAGTCCTCTGGGCCAAAGGCTGCGACCGGTTCTGATGATAGTCACATTCAAGCTGCAGATCAGCTAGTGCTTGTTTCTGTGAAAGTTATTACAATTTCTTTCTTTTTTTCTTCTCTTTAGAAATGTTGATTCTTCTCTTTCAGCCTCAGAACATGCAAGTTCTGGTAGTTGGTCTGTGTTCCTTGTGAGTTTATTTTCTTAAAGTGAGGCTGCTGTGAGCCGTGATGTTTCTTTCCTCGCAGGACTATCTATGAGAAGCTGGCCAGCGCTTTCACAGAAGAGCAGGCTGTGCTGTACAACCAGCGTGTGGAGGAGATCTCGCCCAACATCCGCTACTGTGCATATAACATTGGTGAGCGGGCTGCATGGGGCATCGACAGGTGGCTTGGTGGTAGTTCATCTCAGAGAGCCTAGAGAATTTCTTTAACTTTCTTCCCTTTCCCTTGCTTCCATATTTGGTGTGGGTTTTGGTTGATGAAAAAAGTAGAATTGTCGGAGTTAGCCCTGCTCGAAATCCGGAAGGGAATTCCATTGCTTCGGTTTTGGCCCTGCCATCTTCTTTACTCACCAAGAGCTTTATGAAAGGACTTGGGAGGCCTTGAAACGTGCTTATGGAGGGAGAAGAGCTTGGAGTTGAATCTAGTGGTTCTTGAGGGAACACCCAACTCCCTCGAGGATTTTCCACTCAATATCTCTCTTTTTCTCAGGGGACCAGTCAGCTATCAATGAACTCATGCAGATGAGATTGAGGTCTGGGGGCACTGAGGGTCTCCTGGCTGAAAAATTGGAGGTAATCTAGTATGCACATTTTTGTGAAAAGTCTTTGGTTTGAAAAAAGTCCAGTAAAAGAAGTAACCCATAATCCCATCATCCGAGGATAATTGCTGTCAATATATGCATATTTATATCTATTTTTAGCAAAAACTATTTTCACTTAATATTTTAAAGTGTTCAACTTTCTTAATTTGGTACTCATAGAAAAAGTAGGAAATATAAAAGACTGGGAAAGATTGGGGGGAAAAAATAGAATCATTTAGGGGCTTCCCTTGTGGTGCAGTGGTTGAGAATCCTTCTGCCAGTGCAGGGGACGTGGGTTCGAGCCCTGGTCTGGGAAGCTCCCACATGCTGCGGAGCAACTAAGCCTGTGTGCCATAACTGCCGAGCCTGTGCTCTGGAGCCCGCATGCCGCAGCTGCTGAGGCCCACACGCCTAGAGCCCGTGCTCCGCAACAAGAGAAGTCATTGCAATGAGAAGCCTGTGCACCACAATGAACAGTAGCCCCTGTTCACCACCACAGCAACAAAGACCCAACACAGCCAAAAATAAAAAATAAAATTAATTAATTAAAAAAAAAAGAATCATGTGGGTTACCACCCAGAGGTGGTATGATATGATGAATATCTTGCAAACTTTTTTTAAATATTTATTTATTTATTTATGGCTGCTTTGGGTCTTCACTACTGCATGCGGGCTTTCTCTAGTTGCGGCGAGCAGAGGCTACTCTTCACTAGTGCGCAGGCTTCTCACTGCGTGGCTTCTCTGGTTGCGGAGCACGGGCTCTAGTCGTGCTGCCTTCAGTAGTTGTGGCTCGTGGGCTCTAGAGCGCCGGCTCAGTAGTTGTGGGGCACGGGCTTAGTTGCTCCACAGCATGTGGGATCTTCCCGGACTAGGGCTCGAACCCATGTCCCCTGCATTGGCAGGCAAATTCTTAACCACTGCTCCACCAGGGAAGTCCTGCAAACTTGTATATGTAGAGAAAAAGGCATATGTTTTAAAAATAGAATCTCAGTATACACTGTTTAGTAACGTGCTTCTTAAATTTAATGTCACATGCATTTTTCCACTTCAGTAAATACATTTCCATGCATCTTTTGATGACCGCATGGTATTCCATTGTGGTACATGTTTTATTTGACCACTCATTACTGTTGATTGTTTAAAAGTGGTAACTGGTATTACCATGAATATCTGTGTCCCCAGTTTTTGTATACATTCTTAGTTATTTCCTTAGGATAAATTTGTAAAAGTGGAATTGAATGTTTTGGAAGCTTTTGATACATATTGACAAATACTTTTAGTAAGTTTCTACTAATTTACATTTCTGCTTGCGATGCTTTTCTCCTTACACTCTTGCCAAAACTTAGTGTTGCTCGTTAGCCTTCTGTCGTGTCCTTTTAATATTGGAGTTTCTGTAAGCTAAGAAATATGCCAGGGAGGAATTTAAATAGAAATTTGTATATACTCTATAAACTGTGATATGTTAGTTTTAGAAAGAGACAAATGATAGTTTCTGCTGATTTTCACCTTGATCACTCATATCCACAGTTAAAGCTTTAACTTTTTAAAACTACCTTCCAGGCCTTGATCACTCAGACTCGAGCCAAGCAGGCAGCCACCATGAGTGAAGTGGAATGGAGAGGCAGAACGGTCCCGGTGAAGATCGACAAAGTGAGGATCTTTTTACTGGGATTGGCCGACAATGAGTCAGCCATCGCCCAGGTAAGGAGCAAGGACCTATTCTGTTCTCTTCTGTGTGTGTCTGGAGCTTGTCCTTGTGTGTTTAACATGTAGTGTTTTGTTGCTGCTTGGGATTTGGTAACAGTCTCAAGATGTACCCTCTTGAATAAAATTATTTTGAAAGCTGAGTTTATCAAGGAGTTCTTAGTTTGGAGGGCAAAGAAATTGACAGTGACAGCCTTCAGTAAAAATGGGAGCAACAAGGGTCTGCTTAAAGTCAGGGGTTACATTCAGCCCAGCAGGTGGTGCAGCAGCATGACTGTTATGTCCCTTGTGTCTGTCTGACCTCTTGTCCTAGCCTTCTAGCCCTAAAGGGCCACGTCTTGTTCCTGGGCCTTTTAAAGACAGCTAAACCAGAACATCTTGTTTTATGTGTGGTATATATGCAGTATTCATGCAAAGCCATACTACCTGATGCTCCTGCTGAGATAATTCTTACCTGTTTGTGGGTGTGCACAACCAAGTGAGTTCCAAAAGATGAGAGATCCTGGTGATCTTGGTTTGTATGAAGTAGGCAGTGATTGAGGCATTTTTTTAGAGCTCCTTCTCCATATTAGGTGAAGAACGTCTGAGAAAAAACCAGGCTGCTCCCTGTGTCTCCAGCCTCAGCAGGGACCAGTGGCATTTCGTGAGACTTCACAGCAAGCTACTGCACCCGGAGTGATATTTGTATGAGGTGCTTTCTTAGTTGTGCTGATGAGTTGTCTTAAGCATCCAAACCTTTCAGTGACTTGTTCCAAAATGGCTCCTTTGGGTTGGGGACAGCTTTCAACAACTGAAGGATTTCTTTGTGCCTTTTGTCTGTATTACATATTGCCTCTTATTTACCCTTTATTTCCTTGAAAGACAGAAGACTAGAACAATACCAGAAAGTTGAGTTTTCATTAATCTAAAAGACTAAACTTTTTCTGAGAACATTTCATTGGCATTTAGGGTATAGAGGTCTCTCTTCTGGACTAGGGCTGATAGCAACCATTTAGATTATGCAACTGGGTTAACTCTTGTTTTAAAGCGGTACATGCTGGAAGAAAAGAACTGCTACAGTTCTGTGCCAGGCATCAGGCAGTGACAGTGGGGCAGAAATTCTGGATAGAATAGGGGGCAAGGGAGGTCAGTAGGGGCAAATAAAATAGGGACTTCTTAGGAATGGGGCCACAGACATACATCAGACAAAGGACAAGAAAAGATAACATTTATTAAGTAACTTTAAAAAGTTGTTCATGCTTAACATTTATAAAATATAAATTTTTAAAAATTTTTCTTTATTTATTTTGGCTGTGCCGTGTCTTAGTTGTGGCATGAAGGATCTTTAGTTGCATCATGTGGACTTCTTAGTTGCGGCATGTGGGATCTAGTTCCCCAACCAGGGATCGAACCCAGGCCCCCTGCATTGGGAGAGTGGAGTCTTACCCACTGGACCACCATGGGAGTCCCAAAATATAGATGTTTTTAAGAAATCAACCTTTAAGAAAACAACCTGTGATGAGGTGACTGACCATGACTTTCTCTAGTTGCAGCGAGCAGGGTCTACTCTTTGTTGCAGTGCGCCGGCTTCTCATTGCGGTGGCTTCTCTTGCAGAGCATGGGCCCTAGAGTGTGTGGGCTTCAGTAGTTGTGTCATGCAGGCTCTAGAGTGCAGGCTCAGTAGTTGTGGTACATGGGCTTAGCTGCTCCGTGGCATGTGGGATCTTCCTGGATCAGGGATCGAACCCGTGTCGCCTGCATTAGCAGGCGGTTTCTTGACCACTGCACCACCAGCGAAGTTCTGTATGAGTTTTTAATTGTTATCCCGCAAGATACAGTGGTGTGTTTGAGGAGTGTATGAAATCAAAGGGTTGGAAAGAACCATATAGGGATAGTTTCAAATCTTTAAAGGCTGAAGCGGGAAGAATATTTGAAGCCTGTTAACGTAGTGAATTACATTGATTAATTTTCAGTGTTTAAGCCAACCTTGAGTATCTGGGATAACCCACTTGGTTGTAATATGTTGTACTTTTTATTTATACATTGCTGGATTTGGTTTGTTAATACTTTAAGAATTTTGCATCTGTTTTCCTGAGAAAGAGTGGCCTATGATTTTCTTGTTTTGTATGTAATGTCTTTTTTAGGGTTGGTGTCAGGGTTATACATACCTAATAAAACAAATTTGGAGATGTTCCCTTCTTCTCATTTTATGAAAGAGTATGTAACACTGGTATTTTTTTTCCTTAAATGTTTGTTATAATTCACCAGTGATACCATTGGTCCTGGAGTTTTCTTTGTGGGAAGGTTTTTAAAATTTGGTTTTGCTTGTTTTAAACAAATATTATTCCTTTACAAGTTGTAGGGCTATTCGGATTTCCTGTTTCATCTTGTGTCTTGTGTCAGTTTGGATTTTGTTTTTTTAAAGGAATTTATTAATTTAATGTAAATTGTTGATTTTACTGGCATAGAGTTTACAATATTCCGTTATCATTTTAATGTTTGTAGAATCTTTTAAGTGCCTGGTTAATGTGCTTGTTGTGGTGAATACAGTTATCTGTGGTTTTTAAGCATCTTACCGTACATTAGGATCACTTGAGTATCAGAGACCTTTAAATAATTTGGTAGGTCAAACAAAATGTGTATTAATCCCAGGAATCCCATTAAGGTTTTAACATTAAAACAGGGTGCGGGGGGATGGATTGGGAGATTGGGATTGACGTATATACACTATTGATACTATGTATAAAATAGGTAACTAGTGAGAACCTACTGTATAGCACAGGGAACTCTATTCAATGCTCTGTGGTGACCTAAATGGGAAGGAAATCCAAAAAAGAGGGGATATATGTATATGTATAGCTGTTTCACTTTGCTGTACAGTAGAAACTAACACAACATTATAAAGCAACTATACTCCAATAAAAATTTTAAAAAAAACATTAGAAACAGTTACGTGCCTAATGTGCTATATCAGACATATACCACCACGTCAAGCCAGTAAATAAAGTAATTTAAGTGCAGTGTCAAAGTTTAGTTGAATCCTGAGATGTCAGGGCTAGCACTGTGGCCGATTAAATGTGTATTGAATTGAATGAACCGTGGGTTATTAAATGTGGGAAATGCCCTTTGGCCATTTGAGGCTAATCTCCAGAAGAACTACTTGCTCCTTGGTGCCACTGTCAGATGATTTGCCTGTTCTCCTTATTGTATCGAGTTGTTCTCTGCCCTGGAAACCAAGCACTCTAACTGAGAGAGACAGGGCTTTTCACTGCAGTGTTTTCTAACCTGGTTGATGTTGGTGTTTGCCACCCTCTGGGAGCTGGAGTTCAGGAATTTGGTAGCCCCAGCTTCTTGCTTGCTTGTAGAGGTTTTTATGACGTTTAAATACTAAAACTGCAGTTTACTGAAAAGCGTGCAAGGAAGAAATAATTCAGGGAGATAATATTAAACTGCAAAAACTGGAGCTGAGGCTTAATGAGCTGCTGAACTCCCGCTGCAGAATCCTTCCTTCCTTTAGCCAAGCTTTAGGGCCTCATGTCTTTAGTATTGTCTTACTTTATAATTTATTTCTGTTCTGCTTTGTTAGTCCTTGGTCCTGCCTGAATTGTCACTGGTGGTGATTTGAGGGTGTAAGGCAGCTCTTGGGTGGGGTGGGGGGTGGGCAGCTTTAAAGTCTCTGCAGGTTTCATGATTCTTATCCACAGGCTATGGCTCATGTTTTAATGTTTGACTGGAAGGGAGATCATTTCCCCTTTTCTCTAAAAAAAAAAAAAAAATCTATTTTTAAGTGAGGTTTGTATCCTCTGCTACTCAAGTCCCATGTGTTTTTCACTAGACCTCACTGGGCCGAGCGAGGCTTGGTTCCCATCCCCTTGGTTCTCCTGCGAGTCTGGTGGAGAATGTGGTCAGACTCGCCTTGTTGTCTCTTAGTCACACCACCACCATGCGGCAATATTTGTGGACAAGCGAAAACCATCTGGGAGCTCTGTTTTAAAGAGCTGGGGGTCTCTACCTCAGGACACAAGCAGCTGGTTTTAGTCAGCGTTGAGACGTGATTTGAGGCTGTGGAAAAGCACATCCGAGAGTATTTGAAGTTTTATAAAAATTGATCTCGAGTTTGTTTATTAGGACTGAGTAACATTACTTCTGGGCTTCAGGTTTCTCTGTGTCATAGGCACAGCTGGGAAAGGTCCAGGCAGACCACAGATTCTCATGCAGGGGGTTTGCCCCTGTGTTTAGGAGCACATTCTTGTTGGTTCAGTGGCAAACTTGAGACATATGCATGTGGACTCTGAGGGACCCTCCCTCTGCATAGGCATAGAGAGGTGTTTCTTGTTCCACTGCCCCTTCAGGATTATCTTAGCCTCCAAGATAGGTTTATGGAATAAGCAGGTAAGTAGCAAGATACGTTTCAGGCTTCCTGTTTGGAGACATTCTGTCCAGCCCGGGAGAACCGGGAGAAGTTCTGCTCCGGAGATTAGTGGTCTCCACGTCACTGTGCAGTGCAGCTGCCATTAGGAAAACACAATTGACTGAAGTGCTCCCCTTCAGATAGGCTTTTTCCTTCATTGCGGTTTAAGACTTTTGTAAGATTCCCAATGGATCTTAGAATTTTCTGGAAGCAGAGGGAAAATTTGCTTATGTTCAGTACCTTGATGCAGAGGTTTCCTTACTCAAAGGAAACGAAGGTAATACATGGCATTAAAGAGGTTTAGCATTTTAGACATCATTTTAATTTTTTTATTTGAGCCATTCCCTCCCTGTAGGAAAGGAGACAGATCCTATGTAGCCGGTAAAACCACATTTACTCTTTTCTTACTTATACACCCATTGCCCTGACTGCTGAACCCCCCCATCTTAAAAGGGTGTCGGTGGCCTGTTTGCTGGATTGCATGGTATCAAACTGATGCTGGAGTTTATCCGGGCTGCTCACGACGTGGCTCTGGTATGTGTGTGGTTAGTGCCAGGTCTGTTCGCATATCTTATTCTGCGGCTGCTCCGTTACACAGGATCTGTACTTTGAAAAATTTGGCCAGTTTGATTAAATGATTGTAAAGAATCTTGCTAACTTGAGATGCTTAATTAACAGTGTTTCGTGTGAGTGTGTTTCTCCAGAGCTGGGCTGTACTGTCCAGTACAGTAGCCACTTGAACACACACAGCTGTTTAAATTAATTAAAATGTCAGATTGCTCAGCAGCCGCGTGTAGCTAACGATGACTACAACGGACAGTGCAGATACATCATTATCACAGAAAGTTCTAGTGGACAGCACTACTCTAGGCTTCAGTGAGTTAATGGTGGCTGTGTTTGCCTTTATAAGTTTATAGAATAGCTGTGCCCCTGATTTGTTCCTAAGTTACTGAACAACAGGAAAGTCAAGTAACTTATAAATAGAAAAGTATGTTCAATTTATATTGGGTAATTTACGAGGAAGTTTTTTCCCACACTGGAAACTAGGAAAAACATAAGCGTTCTTAAGAGAAGAAAAGGTTTTTCTTTAAGCCACTCCTAGCCATCTCTTAAAGGAGTGGATTTTCTTTGGGGCTTTCTTGGAGGTCACTTGAGTGTCAAGAGATCAGATTGGATGATAGTTTCTGTGGAAAGTCAAACATAATCATGAGAATGTTGATGTTCTAATGTCTGGGTGGGTCTGCAAGTAACACAAGTTCGTCTCCTTTTTGCTTTTTGTTCATTCCCACCTGCTCAGTCAGATTCTTTAGAATGGTAATGTGGTTTGGCAGGTATTCAGTTAATGAATCACTTTTTGCCTTATCCCAGCCGGCTGGCAGAGGGGTGACACCCTATGCTTTGTCAACCTCATCTGCCCTAAAAATGTTCTCAGCATAGCTGTATGGAATATCTGAGGGCAGAATTTCCGGGAGGAGGAGAACCTCATATGGCATTTAGGAGAAATATGTTTTTGATTGGGTATTGATTAGTAATGTTACTCACCTGCTTGGACTTAAAAGAAATCCAGTATGTGCAAGTCCGTTGGGTTACATTTGTAAGGAAAAGAAGCTTCTGCTGTGCTGAGCCTCAGTATGAGGTGGCAGTGCCCCAAATCTAGTCCATAAGGCCCCTCTAGGGAAGCCAGGTGCAGGTCGGGAGCAGGGGTAGAAGAGTTGGAGGAGAATAGTAGAAAGTTCTATGATAGAGGAAACATTAAAGCATCTGTTGCCTGACAGTTTAGATCAGTTATACAGATACTTTTTCAGTATGTTCACTTTATATTTATATATATGTATATATTTCTCATTTCCATACAAATAAAGACTAAAACCATAAGAAAAATCATATACGATAGAGAATATTAACAGTTGAAATGATCTCCGATTCGGGCCATTTTTTGGTTGATGTGTGTATTTGTGTTTAATGGGAGGAATCAAAGCGATGTTATGCCTTCCTCCCGTCAGAGTGCTATGTCTTACTCAAAAGAAAATCTTTTTACTGCCTTCTGCCTTTGTTTAGGCTGAAAGTGAAGAGACCAAGGAGCGTCTGTTTGAATCCATGCTCAGTGAGTGTCGGGACGCCATCCAGGCCGTTCGGGAAGAGCTCAAGCCAGATCAGGTAGGACTCTCAGCTGAGCCACGGGCTCTTGTTCTGGGCTGAGGTCCTCTTCAGTCTGTGTGTCGCATTCTCAGTGCATTGACTCTTAGCCACTGTTGTATTTAGGTGTGGTGATTGGCTAATGAACAACCGAAGCCTCTTCTGGGCTCCATCAGGTTGAGAATTTCTTTTGTCTATCCTGTTTCTCCTAATGGTTTCACGTATTACCTGTTAAAGCTTTGATCTCAAATTCATATCTCCAGGTGGATTTCTCCAGTGCTCCCTTTCTCTAATAATATCACTGTGATTCATTCAGCCATCTAGGCTGAAAACCTCAGAACCATTTCTGTCTCTTTATTCCCTGTCACCAAAAACCCTGTTTATTCTCCCTTTGTAATTTCTCTCACTTCTTGTCCATTCCACCTGTTTCTAATAAGCCCTTTATATTGTGCCTGGACTACCACAAAAGTCTCCTGATTGCTTTTCCTATCTTGGTTTCAGTTTGGTTTTCCAGACCTTTTTGCCAGAAGAACAGACTGAATCTCTCTAGATCCTATTTCACTGCCTACTTGTGAAAAAAGCCCAGTGATTCTCTGAGGTCTAGAGCGGTGGTCGCTAAACTTCTATGATCATGCACCCCATAAGTAAAATTGAGCATTTATCTCTGATAACATTTATTTATAAATTATATACCTTATTATTCAACTAATTTGTGATTTAGAAAATGTATTAAAATAAAGTTTTTAGAATTGAGATAGATATAAATAGAAGTTCTAGTTTTCTTCTTATACCCGTACCCTGAGGGCTGTGTGCACCCTTCTTAAATACCACAGTGTCTAGCAAATACAGTTCAAACTCCTTGAGCTGGTATGTGAGCCTCCGCTGGGTGTTTCTAGCCTGTTTCCAGTGCTGTACTTGGCTGCTTCCCTCTGAGTCTTCTGCCTTAGGCTCTTGTACTCACTGTCTTATGCCTGTCCCACTGCAGTGCATTCCTTACACTGTTGTCCTTTCCCCCCCCCTCACACTTGGCTTCTTCCACTCCCTTTTCACCTGTCCAAACGCTGGCTGTCTTTCAAGGTGTGGCTCATAGCTCACTGTCTCTGAGAAGCCTGCCTACACCATCCTCGCCCACATTTCTCCATTTTCCGAATATCTGATACTTGCAGCTATAATTTTTGTTTGATAGTTAATCAAGCATTGCCTTTTTAAAATTAATTAATTAATTTAATTTTGGCCACATTGGGTCTTCGTTGCTGCACACGGGCTTTCTCTAGTTGCGGCGATCGGGGGCTACTCTTTGTTGCGGTGCGCGAGCTTCTCATTGCAGTGGCTTCTCTTGTTGCGGAGCACGGGCTCTAGGCATGTGGGCTTCAGTAGTTGTGGCACATGGGCTCAGAAGTTGTGGCACATGAGCTCAGAAGTTGTGGCTCGTGGGCTCTAGAGCACGGGCTCAGAAGTTGTGGTGCATGGGCTTAGTTGCTCCACGGCATGTGCAATCTTCCCAGACCAGGACTCAAACCTGTGTCCCCTGCATTGGCAGGTGGATTCTTAACCACTACGCCACCAGGGAAGTCCCAGTCAAGCACAGCCTTTTAACATTTTGTGTATTGTTTTATATTTACCTTCCTGTTATATTTTTCTTAAGATTATAAGCATATTAAAAGTAACTATATATTTCTTTAATCATCTGCCGTAGTACCTTCTGTATGAAATATTCAATGAATGTATGTTGGGCTGTAGTCGCGTGTTTCCTCCTCCAATAAGCAGGCTTTATATATTATACTTCCCTTGATTCATGTAGCAGGTACATACAGAGCCCCAGCCTCTGTCATTCACTTTGAATTCACAGCAGCTGAATTCAGCAGACACCTCACAGAATGTAATGAATATGGTGATAGCAAGGTGTTCCTGTTGCTGCTGTAACATTACCACAAACTTAGTGGCTAAAAACAACACAAGTATATTATCTTACAGTCCTGGAGGATGGAAGTCTAAAATGGGTTTGTAGGGCTGTATTCCTTTTGGAAGCTCTAGGAGAGAATCCATTTCCAGTATTCCAGAGAGTGTATTTTCCTGCATTTCTTGCCTGTTGTCCCTTCCTCCATCTTCAAAGCCAGCAGCATAGCATCTTCTCTCCTGTCTGTCCTCTGCTTCAGTCCCAGTATCTTCTCTATATTGTTGACCCTACTGCCTCCCTCTTATAAGGAGTCTATGTTTGTGTTGGCCCCCCCTGGATAATCCAGGCTAATTAAGAGATTCTTAGCTTCATCACATCTGTAAGGTCTCTTGCCACGTAAGGTAACATCTTCACAGGTTCCTGTTAGGATGTGAACATCTTTAGAGGCCATTATTCAGCCAGCCACAAAGACAAGAGCTAACAGCACAAGGCATAGAACTTGGGTCTAAGACACAGGTCTTAAAATGGAACCGAGGACCACGGACTGTCTGCCTTAATGCTTTGGGTCTGGACACTGGACGCAGTGGACAGGAAGCCTTACTGGCCATTACTCTGAATCCTCTTATTCAAGTCTGGTTTTTAGATGCCAGTGGCAACTGAGTGACCCTGTCATTCTAGAATATATGCAGTAGATCTCTGATATTTGAAGACCCTTAGCTTACTAGAGTCTGTGCCTGTATTCCAGGGCACTTGGAGGAACCACACCATTAAATGAGGTGGTCAACCTAGAGGGGTGGGATAGGGAGGGTGGGAGGGAGGGACATGCAAGAGGGAGGGGATATGGGGATATATGTGTATGTACAGCTGATTCACTTTGTAATACAGCAGAAACTAACACACCATTGTAAAACAGTTATACTCCAATAAAGATGTTAAGAAAAAAAAAAAAATCGAGGTGGTCAGAGCCAAGGATAGGATCAGCCATTTTATCCTTACCTTTTCACTTTCTGCAGAAACAGAGAGATTATATCCTTGACGGGGAATCGGGGAAGGTATCTAATCTTCAGTACCTGCACAGGTAAGGGTTGTGATGTTTTGACTTTTTAACGTTGTATGATGTATCTTTGGAACAAAAGAGTATATATAATGTTTATGTACATTATAATTTATTGATACATACTAAAATCTGAATGCATCTATTCGCATTTTATCGTATGAGTTTTGAATTTGTATATTATTCTAATATACTTATAATTTAAAATTTTTATACAGTGTAAGAACTAGAATACAGCCAATAATTTTGAAGCTCCTTGTGGCCCCACCCTTGCTGATTCCTCCCCCTCTTCTGGAGCTAACCACTGTCCTTCCCATGCCAAGCTCCTAGAGTGACTCTCTGCTGTGTTCTGAATGTTTTACATTGTCCCTTTTATATTTGAGTTCAATTTCAACTCAAGTTTAATTCCACCTGGAGTTTATTTTTGAGTGAGGTAAGGATCTATTTCACCTTTTTCCATGAGGATAATGGATTATTCCAGTGTGTGATTTATTGACTGTTCTGTCCTTTCCCCACTGATGTGCAGGAATACATTCCATTTTCTCCTTGCGCGCTCTTTTTTTCTGGACTCTCTTCTGCTCTGCTGATTTATTTGTGTGTACTAACACAGCACAGTGATTTACTATAACTTTATCATAAGTCTTGGTATCTGGTCGAGCAAGTTTTCCCCACTAGGTTTCTCCTCAGGCATATCTTGACTGTTTTTCTCCCTTTGCTCTTTCATATGCATTTTTAAATCACCTTGTCAAGTTTAAATTTTTTAAGAGGTGAATCATTTTGTTTCACAGAAGAAAGGAGGGAGAGTGACATTTTTCGAACTTCCTGGGGAGAAATAAAATTCCACTTCTCAGATTCTCTTTCCATGTGACCTTGAAATTTTAATTTCTTAGTCACTGCTTATAAGTTTTTAGTGAACCTGGCTGTATTTTCAGTCATTCCCGTGCCCCCCGCCCCTCTTTTATAAAAAAAGCAAAACCATAAAAGCTCCTCTCCCTGCCTTAATCTCCATTCTTAGGGGACTTGGTGTTATGTGAATGTCAAATTGACTGCTAGATGACTCGGGTGCACAGAATATCAGCCAGAACGGCCCTTAGCCGTCTTCTGCTTCAACAACCTAAGGAGAAAGATGAGGCTCCAGGAGGTTAGGGGACATGTTGGTAGTTAACAGCCACAACAAGGCAGAGGCAGTTGATCAACTTCCTAACCTTGAAAAACCCAGAGAGTTTCAGCAGGGCTCAGGAAACTTTCAAATTGTGAAGCCCCTTGCCCTTGGATCCATTCTCCCACCTCCACATGTGGCTAGTGTCAGGATCATAATCAGTTAGGATCGGAAGCCAGCTTTGGGGTAAATTGAAGTCGAGAATCGGGTAGCTCTTGTATTTTAATAAAACTCTTGTATTTTAATAAAGATGTATCTGGACTCCTACTCTGAATAATAGTTACTTTGAGAGTTTGATTTTTCTACAGAGCTTTAGAAAAAACCATCTCATGACCTTTCCTCCCATTTCTCAGAAGCATCCACTTTTGGGAATTCCCTGATGGTCCAGTGGTTAAGACTCCGAGCGTCCACTGCAGGGGACGTGGGTTCGATCCTTGGTCGGGGAACTAAGATCCCACAATCTATGCAATGTGGCAAAAAAAAAAAAAAAGGCAGCAGCAGCCACTTTTAATTCTTTTTTTTTTTTTTTAATATTTATTTGGTTGCGCTGGGTTCTAATTTCGGCAGGCGGGCTCCTTAGTTGTGGCACGCGAACTCTTAGTTGCAGCAAGCGTGTGGGATCTAGTTCCCTGACCAGGGACTGAACCCATCCCCCCTGCGTGGGGAGCATAGAGTCTTACTCACTGTGCCACCAGGGAAGTCCCTACTTTTAATTCTTTTAACAAATTCTTTTGGTATTTACCTCCATGTCTCTAAATAACATGCGTTTTGTTGCTACTTGTTGATTTTTGGCTTTCAGCATTTCTTACCACTTTCCCCTACAGCCTTCTCTCACCGATTCTACGCCCACTCTTCACCCGGACCCCTCTTGACTTCCCATCTGACTCCTACACAGGCTTCCTCATTTCCAATGCCATTAAGTTAATTAATTAATTAATTATTTTGCCGCAACGCACAGCATGTGGGATTCTAGTTCCCCGACCAGGGATCAAATCCGTGCCCCCTGCAGTGGAAGTGCAGAGTCCTAACCACTGGACCATCAGGGAAGTCCCGATTTTAATTTCTAAGAGCTCATTTGTGTTCTTTGAATATTATTTTAAAACAGTGTCTCATTCTAACTTCACAACCACAAAGTCTTCACTTATCTTTCTGAAATTAATAATAGTTGTCTAAAGTTTTCTTCTCCCTACAAAGTTCGTTTCTTCCAAGTTGCCTTTTTTTCCCTTCTCAGTCTTGGCCCCTCCTGTCTTATTAGAGGTTTTCCTTAAGTGTCTGGTGATCCTTGTTCATCCACTCCTATTAATGACTGTGTCTTGTCTGTTGGGAGCTCTTGCATGGAGCTCGTCAGTTGTGGTTTCACTGTAGGTGCTCTGGGTCTGCGCTTTCACTGAGGACCCTGACTCCAGAATCTTGAAGGGTTTTTTATCTTGGGCTGGTCAGATCCTCAGCATATATCAGGCTGTTCTTATTCTGGAAGCCGAGTAGGAGAAGAATGCTAGGAGGTCAGCCCTCAGAACTTGACAGTCTCTTAACCCCCCTGGTTCATTGTGGAGCCCCTGACCTCAGCTGTGCCTGTATCCCCTGTCCCCAGGCCTCTTTTATATCCTCCCTCTCCCAGGATGCCTCCAGCCTCTGCCACAGTAAGATGGGGATCTAGAGGCCTAAACACTTCTTAAGTAGACTTAACTAGTTACCGTGTTTTTAATTGCCAAATATTAAAGGACTTTCCAGATGGTACAGTTAAAATAAGCAGGCATCACGCATAGTCTCCGGTATATACACACATTTAATATGCATAACCCTCCAAAGAGAATGTCCCTCAGTATTTTCTGAGAAGAGAAGGTCATCAGCGGAGCAGGAGCAGCTGCCGTGCATGTGTGCTGTCCTTGTAGTGTGGGCCAGGCGGGTAACCGGTCCTTGTTCCAGGAACTAGCTTGCCATCCATTAGTCATCTTAAGGACCAGCAGTGTCCTCTGAAATTAGTAGCTGTCTGGCTCTTTAATAAAGATACAGAGAGGGGCTTCCCTGGTGGCGCAGTGGTTGAGAGTCCGCCAGCCGATGCAGGGGACGCGGGTTCGTGCCCTGGTCCGGGAAGATCCCACATGCCGCAGAGCGGCTGGGCCCGTGAGCCATGGCTGCTGAGCCTGCGCGTCCAGAGCCTGTGCTCCGCAACGGGAGAGGCCGCAACAGTGAGAGGCCCACGTACCACAAAAATAAAAAAAAATTAAAAAAATAAAGATATGGAGGATATAATTCAAGCTAAAATCAGATTTTGTCATAAGGTTTCATTACTGGTCCCCTGCAGTTAGCCACTGAACAGCAGCCAGAATTGAAGGCCCTTGGAGTTTGAGGCCCAGGCCTGACAGCCCTGCGATATGACACCCCCTCACCCCCATAATCCCCTAGGGCAGTCCCAGCTTGTGGTCCAGTGCTCTTCTCGAACGTCAGCTTCCCTCATCATAACCTGAGCTGACATGTGGTCCATTCCAGCTACCTGACTTACATCAAGCTGTCAACAGCAATCAAGCGGAACGAGAACATGGCTAAAGGCCTGCAGAAGGCGGTGCTGCAGCAGCAGCCGGAGGACGACAGCAAGCGCTCCCCCCGGCCCCAGGACCTGATCCGGCTCTATGACATCATTCTTCAGGTGACCCTGGAGGGCTGGGAGTGCAAGAGCCTGTCCTGTGTTTGTGTTGGACACAAATGACTGAGCTTTGCATAGCGAAAGGGCTGTGACAGCCAGGAGCTGTTAGTGTCTCGATAAAAGACAGAGGTCTTGGGCTTCCCTCGTGGCTCAGTGGTTGAGAGTCCGCCTGCCGATGCAGGGGACACGGGTTCGTGCCCTGGTCCGGGAAGATCCCACATGCCGCGGAGCAGCTGGGCCCGTGAGCCATGGCTGCTGAGCCTGCGCGTCTGGAGCCTGTGCTCCGCAACGGGAGAGGCTACAACAGTGAGAGGCCCACGTACCGCAAAAAAAAAAAAAAAAGACAGAGGTCTTGTTTTCATGCCATTTCAGCCATCCGTGAGCCCAATATTCAGACGTGTTGGTGTGTAAACACTTGTAAACCACAGGTATTCACTGAGCACCTCCCCTGTGCAGGGTGGTCTCCCGCATGCTGTGGAGCGTCCTGGGACCTGAGGCCACTCTGCCTCGACCCAATGGGAGCTCACCAGTGAGTAAGGTTGTGAGACCCCTGCACATCTGCACTTATTCGTGTAGATGCCACAGTAGTGGGCTGTCTGAAATGAGAGTTCAGAGCCGGAGAAATCCCCTCTAGCTGAGAGGGTCCTAGAAGTCTCTGAAAGAGGTGGAGTGTGACTGGGAGAGAAAGGACACGTGGGCTTTCAGTGTCAGAGAGGAGGGTGGAGGTGACACCAGATGTGGCTGCTGCTGAGTCACGCGTCACAGACTTTTTCCCGTTACTTGAAGCCTAGACTCTTCCGTTTTGCCCATGTCTATTCTCACAAGTCTTCTGTCAGACGATCAGTGCGAGGTCTCCTCTTCATGAGTTTTCTTGTTGCATCTGTTGTGCAGAATCTGGTGGAATTGCTCCAGCTTCCTGGCTTAGAGGAGGACAGAGCCTTCCAGAAAGAGATAGGCCTTAAAACTCTGGTCTACAAGGCTTACAGGTAAGTTCCTGTGGGACAGACAGGGCTCCCCTCTACCATCCCGTGGTTCTAGAAGCCTTGGGAGTATGTCCCTGGAAGGTTGGGTATGTGATCAGAGAGCAGTTAGCCCAGCGTGTCCAAGGGAAGTTTCAGGTTGTGGCTGGGAGTTTCCAGTGCAGTTTTGCTCTTTGGAAAGGTTGGGGGAGCTGGAAAGCACATACATTACCTGTCCTCTCCCTTCCCTTTCCTCCCTCCTCCCAGTGGAAAAGGGATAAGTGTTGGAAAAAGCGTCAATTAGCAGAACTAGAACAGCTGATTCAGGGAAACTGAACTGAGTTGGGAGAAAGCTCAGCGTCTCAGTTTCTTACATGCACCGTGCTATTTGTAACTTGGGAGTGGACTGTGTAGCAACATGGGGTCTAGACAGAATGGCTCAGTAGAGCCCTGAGTGCTTTTGCCCTTCCTTTTCTGGCCCGCATGCCCCTGCGCTCTCTGGCTCCTGTCAAAGGCCAGCAGCGCTCAGGCTCTATTGATCCCAGCAGAGTAATTTCTGTTAGGAAGAGGTTTGTTTCTTTGGATTTGGTTTTTGAAAGACATGAGCAGAGGTGAATGGTTGCGACCTAGATGTGTGGGCAGTTGTGGGTGGGATTTATATCTGGGCAGCATCCCACCTTCCTGCCTGTCTCCAGCTTCCTCCCTGTGCCTTTTGGAAATTGCCTCTTTTTTGCAGAGTCAACAGTAAGTAAAAGACACTGGGTCAGCTTTGGACCTACCCTTGTCGGCTCTAATTTCGGGGACAAGTCTGCAGGTTAGGCTGGCAAACTGGAACAGTGAGAACGGTGGGATCTCCCATCCCAGGCAGTGAGCCTGAGGTTAAGAAACTTTACAATTTATTTAGCCTAAACAGCAAGGAAAGCCTTGATCTTGGGTGATTTTTGCTTAAGAACACTGTGGCTCTTTCATTCCCCATCAGGTGTTTCTTCATCGCTCAGTCCTATGTGCTGGTGAAGAAGTGGAGCGAAGCCCTTGTCCTGTACGACAGGGTCCTGAAGTACGCAGATGAGGTGAATTCTGATGCCGGAGCCTTCAAGAACAGCCTAAAGGTGAGCTGTTGTTCTCTCCTGTTTTCCAAGCCCTGAGCACTTTTGCTGTGAGGCTGCCACGCCTTCCCAGACTGGTCCTGCCTGGTCAGCCATGGCATGTGGTACATCCCTGAGTGCCCAGGAGCTGCGGAGTGCAACTCATGGCGGCATTCCAGGCCCGAAGAGGACTCGGGTACTAAGAGGGACAGCCTTCCTCTGGTTAAAACAACCCTGAAATACTATTCTCAGACTCGGCTACATGTTGGAATTGCCTGGGAAGATTTTTAAAAGGTGGATGTCCAGATTCCACCCTCAGAGATATTGGTTCTAATTGGTGTGGGATCTGGTATGAGCATTGGGATCTTTTAAGCCCCTCAGTTATTCTAATGTGTAGCCAAGTTGAAAACCACTGGTGAAGCCTTTCCACACAATGTGTGCCTGGACCAGCAGGAGCAGCATTTGGGAGTTTGCTAGAAATACAGGTTCTCAGTTCCCCACCCCAGGCCTGCTGAGTCAAAAGCGCGTTTTGGCAAGACCCCCAGGTGACTTGGGTGAGACCCGCAGGTGACTTGGGTGAGACCCCCAGGTGACTTGGGTGAGACCCGCAGGTGACTTGGGCGAGACCCCCAGGTGACTTGGGTGAGACCCCCAGGTGACTTGCGTAAGACCCACAGGTGACTTGGGTAAGACCCCCAGGTGACTTGCGTAAGACCCGCAGGTGACTTGGGTAAGACCCCCAGGTGACTTGGGTAAGACCCGCAGGTGACTTGGGTGTACATCAAAGCTTACATGCTGATCTGGTTTGATGTAGTGATTGTTGACTGGCAGCTAGCTTTTTAAGCTTGTGGACTGCTGTGAGGTTATAGATTCTTAAAGCACTGGTCCAAGGAATCCATGTATATTTTATAAGTAGAGACTGTTTAGAAAAGCGGGCTAGGGTCACTGTTCCTAACATTGTCACAGCCAGTGTGAGAGGGGCTGCTGGTGGGGCACTTGTTTCTGCTTGGAACAGCCCTGGGCTCCGGGGTGGAGGAGAACTCTGGTTTCTGCCTTCGGAGAGCTTGTGGTTTTGCTGCAGCCGTGGGACTTGCATAGTACCCACCTATGAATACAGAAGAAGATAGAGGGCGAGGGCAGAGAAATAGGAAGGAGTACGTGGGAGGCGGCTGTGGGCAGAGGGTGGGCTGGCGAGTGTAGCAGTGTCATCTGGTAGGGCGTCGTTGGAATGTGGAGACAAACCAGTGCGTATGGCTTATCTCCGGAGAGAAGAGGCATTTTACAAAAGCCCATCTGACCTAATGTGACGGCTGGTTTCAGGGGAAAGTGTTAGGGAACAGAGGCGTCGGGGATTCAGCAGTATCCAGACCTAGTCAGATCTTTCCCAATTTGCCGAGTAAGAGGCTGAGGCAAGAGAATGGCATTGCCCTTGTAGAAGGGGTCAGTGGGTAGGGGCTTAGGCCCTGGAGCCAGCCGTCCTAGTTCTGAAGCCCTGCCCTACTGCCACTGGGAATGTGACTGGACACGTTCTTTGGCCCCTCTGTGCTTTAGTCTTCTCATCTGTAAAATGCAAGTACAAACTATCTCAGGATTATGGCGAAGATGAAATGAACAGTTATGTGAACTACTTAGAGCAATGCCTGGCACATAATGCATTTAGTATATGATTAACTTATTAATATTATCCTTGTTGTCATTATTATTTCCAGGCAGTATTACTTAAGCCATGGCATAGATTCCTCCCTTTGAAACAGGCTAGTTTTTGTGTGTTGTTTCTTTTAATAGGGAGACCATTTTAAAAAGTCTGAAATTCATGAAAATACCAGTGGGGTCACTTAGCTCAGGTTAGTGTGGTGCGCTTCTCTGGCCTGACTCCAGCTCACGAGTCCCCGTTTTCCACATTGTTACAGGACCTGCCTGACGTGCAAGAGCTGATCACGCAAGTGAGGTCGGAAAAGTGCTCTCTGCAGGCGGCCGCGATCCTGGGTGAGCCGCCTGCCTGTTCTCTGCGGCCTGTCTTCTCAGACTCCCCTTCACTGCTGCTCCTCTTCTCTCCCACCCCCTATGCCACTGTTTTAAGATTGAAAGGGCCTGTTTGGGTTAATCTGTAAGTAGTTTTTTCCTGCCATTCCTTCTGCCCCGTTGAGGCGTTAGGTTATGTGGAAGAATTTAGAGGAACGCTGTTGTGCTGTCCGTTCTGCCTATCCGTGTCTCTTGCTTTCAAGGTGCTTGCTTCGCTGGGCTGACCACATTGGTTCTGGGGTTAGTTGTCTGTTATCTGCACTGCTTCTCTCTGAGTTTGGACTCAGGAGGGAGAGGGCTAACTCCCCACAGATCCGCTACTTTTGCTGTTAGGATTTAGAACCCAGACGTGTGATAGGTGTCCATTCGTGACTATAGTGTGTTATAAGTCCCTGTTCTTACTGAATCCTGTGAAACTTTCAGATACAAATGATTCCCACCAAACAGAGACCTCTTTTCAAGTCAAGGACAATAAGGTGAGTCTGGGCTGTGGCTTTTGAGGAATAAAAAGGATTCATAACTTATTAGGAATGTGTACTCATTTGTAGAACGAGGACCCTAGATCTCTAAGTGAGCACCCTACTTCCCTCCCTTCTTTTACTCAGGACCTGAAAGCTGCCTATGTGAGATTTGTCAGGTGTCATCTAGATGGTCCCAAATGGAGTTAGGAACCTGCTGTGTGCCCTGGCTACGAGCTCTGACTCGGACATCGGACAGGCTTATACCTCAGTCCCAGCCCACCTCTCCCAACCTCTCTAGATTTCAGTGACTCTCAATTATAAAACGAGGACATGATAGCCCCTCCTAGGAGGTTTGTGGGGATCGAGTGAGATAGCACATATGAGCTCTGAACTGGGTGCTCGGCCCATAGTGAATGTTCCACCAGTGGGCTGTGATTAACATCTGGGTTCCTGCTTTTGGTTTGACTTCCAGCCCCTGGTCGAACGGTTTGAGACATTCTGCCTGGACCCTTCCCTCGTCACCAAGCAAGCCAACCTCGTGCACTTCCCGCCGGGATTCCAGCCCATCCCATGCAAGCCTTTGTTCTTTGACCTGGCCCTCAACCATGTGGCTTTCCCACCTCTTGAGGACAAGTTGGAGCAGAAGACCAAGAGTGGCCTCACTGGATATATCAAGGGCATCTTTGGATTCAGGAGCTAACCAGGCTTTTCCTTGGGGGCAGGGGGAGATTCTGACTCTTAATCTGTATTGTGAGAAAACCCCAGCAGCTTCCATGATATTAAATCCAGGTCTGCATTGGCCCAGGGCAGAAGTTTAACATCCTCAACCCTGCATTCCTATGTCTTGTGTGTTTGTACACTTCCATTCTTAACCAGGGTGCTAGAAGGGCACCCTGTTGTCTTCTGATAAATATGTGTGGGATCCTGTGTCTGTCCCCTGCAGGAGGGGCCCCTGCCATCTGGTCTCATGTGAGCCTTTGGTCAGTAATGTGGTCGTGGGGGTCCACACCAGGCACAGATTGGGGCTGGGAATGTTCTGTCGTGTTTCTTCAGTCCCATGGATTTGAAATGAACTCATTCTTGCTGTGAGCATCCAGAATCCCTTGAAGAGTTTGTCCGTGACTAGGAAGCGTTGGCAGCCTTACTCCCCTTCACCTCCCAGTGAAAGTTAAGAAGTTTCAGAACAAGCAAAGCTCTATTTTTAGAAGAAATATGTTACGCTCAGAAATAATGAAAACAAATCTTATATTAAAAGGCGAAGATGCTGGACCCTGTGCCCGTTCTTTGCACATCCTCATTCACGTCTGGGCCCAGCTCTCTCCTCTGGAACCTTGTTGCGAGATCCTGTCGTCACGTGGATCCTGACTTCCTGGCAACGTGGGTGTGTCCGATGCCTGATAAGAGCGATAGAGGCACTGTTTCTGAAGAGTTCCCAACCTGCAGTTTTTAGATGCCATTGTATTTTCATCACTTCCCTTCCTTACCCTTTATTTTTTCTTCGTCACTCATTTTTATTTCTATTATAGCATCAATAATAGGAGTCAAAAAAGTAATGTCAGAAAGCAAGGAATAAAAGTGACTTAAACATGAGATGCATGAAACCCTCTGTGGGCTCAGAGGTGCCTCTGTTTTCCCAGTGAGCTACAGAGGAAATCGCCAGAAGTTAGGAGAGGGTGGTGGGAAGACAGATCAAGTCAACGCTCTTAGACTTGAGCGTTGGCAGGGGCTTTCAAGATGCTCAGAGATAAGAACTCTTCTCCCCCCCAGCATTTGACTTGGGTCAGAGAGTCTCAGGAAGCTGATCTTTTAAAATTTTAATTGAAAGTTTTATCATTTCATCATCTGTGCCATGCAATTTAGGGGTATCTTTCTTTTCCTCTCTCCCTACCTCCTCCTGAGGGTACAGCACAGATGATCTTAGGTTGAGGTCCTGGATTTTGGTCCTGAAGGCCCGGTCAGTGTTCCTAATGGGCTGGGGGAGCGCCGGGGCCCTTCGTTCTCTTCCTCACCCTCGTCCCGCTCTCCAGTGCGCTTGGCAGCACCGGGGCTGTGGTCCAAGGTTCTTCATCTCCCTCGCCTCATTCTCACGCTGACCTGGGCTGCAGCCGCAGCTGGGATGTCCTCCAGCGTCAGGAAGCCAGTTTGAGGCCCCGCTGTGCAGGCGGTCCTCCAGTCTGCTTGTGCCAGTGTCTGTGGCGCTGTAGGGGTGTGGCCGGGGCTGGAGAAGCTCCGTCTGTCCTCATCTGGGAAGATGTCCCTTTGTCTTGCTCACAGTAAGTCCTTCCAGCCCTTCCTACTCTCTTTAGAGTGCCGGCATATGGGGGCGGGGGGAGCCAGAATCCCGAGTCGATCATTTTGACTGAAGATTTTCTAAGCTTTCTCTTTCTCATGAAAAAGAAACACACCAGAAGTTCCCCTCCACCTGGTGTCCCTGCTGGCTGCTCTGAGTAGCAGTGACTGTCGTCAGCCAGTGAGGCCGTGACAAGACGTGATTAGTATCAAAACGCATATTTACCTAAGAAGAAGACCTGGCAGGGCCGAGGTCTCACTTAGCTCACACATCTCTTCACCTGGAATCCCCAGTCGTTGAACAGGCTGTGTTATGGGGGACAGGACGCCGGAAGCAGGACCCCATCCTGTCCTCAGGCCTGGGAAGCGGCTATTGCAGCTCATGGGAACGGGTTCAGAGTCAGACCCAGGGAGCAGCACTTTTCGCTGGATGGGTTTGCAGAGGCCGCCCGGCGCTTCCTTCCTGGGGAGCGGAGGGCGGGGAGGTCTGCCGGCGTGAGGAGGGGTTGTGAACAGTCAGTCGCTTTGCTTTGGGTGGGTCCTGCTGTTCTGGCTCTCGTCCCTCCCACAGGATGGGATGTGGCGCGGTCAGCAGGATTTGACCCTGGAAGAGTCTTCTGTCTCCCCAGATCCAGAGAGGAGGAGGGCAAGCTCAATTGAGTCTACGTTTTTTAGAACATGCCTGAGCGCTGCTGTGTTAATGGTTTTTATCTTCTTACCTGTTGCGTGGTTAATCTGTAAGTAGTTGGTCTTGATCTGCAGAAACGTTAAGAGTTCAAAGCTCCACGAGGTGAAAGCTCTGCGTACAGACTTAGAGAATGAATGCTGAGCCTTGGATGGGAAAGACATGATGTGGCCAAGTTCGTTATCCTTAACTCTGCTGGTTCTGTCGGAAAAAGCAACGTAAGGCAGTTGGAGCTGGACAGGCTCTCCACTGCTCGTGGATATGCGTATGGCTTTTTCCTTTCCACATGCGTTGTTTCGCTGTACTCTCCAGTTTTCCTTTTTTTTTAAAGTCTTTATTGAATTTGTTACAATATTGCTTCTGTTTTATATTTTGGTTTTTTGGCCCTGAGGCATGTGGGATCTTGGCTCCTGGACCAGGGATCGAACCCACGCCCCCTGCATTGGAAAGCGAAGTCTTAACCACTGGACCGCCAGGGAAGTCCCCAGTTTTCCCTTTGACTAGATGAGAATTCTTGGATTCCCTGTTTGAAATGAAACAGTGCCAGGCTTCGTTCCATCCCTTTCCTCTGTTGGCAACCTGAGCCTTTCACCGTGGCCAGGAGGTGACAGCCTGTGGTGGCAGTGCACCTGTCCACCCACAGTGGCCCTGGCCCTTCGCCAGTCTTTCCTCCCACAGCTGAGGTGATGGCCTCCCCCTTCCCCCATCCAGGAGAGGACACGCGACTTCAGGAGCTCCGAGGTGGGCACTGCGCTCGCTCTGCCTGTTCACTGTCATCGCCGTGGCAATGCTGATCCTTCACACGCTCGGCATCAGTGTACACAAAAGCTAATCGACCGCGGATCTCTAAACATGTTGCCGTCTACAGCTTTGAGAAGCTTGGAACCTTCAGAGGTCTAGGAAAATGTCCAAAGATAGCAAAAATATGTGTTGGTTCTAATTTTTTTTGTTTTGGAAGACACTTGTTGCTACAGAGGAGATGGAAACCAGATTTAGCTGTAAAGTTTATCGATGTTCCAAGCAAAGAGATAAATTGGAAACTGCCTGCATCCTGACCACGCCAACTGGAAGAGTGGCCTGTGGTTCTGTGAGATGCTGGAGACACTGTGCACAGGCGGGAGGGCACGAATGACCAACACGGCCCTGCGCTGCCCGGGATCTGCCCTCCGTGTGAGCACCAAGTGTTCGTGAGCCGTATTGTCAGCTGGTACAAGCTAAAATATAACTTCAGCTCATGAATACTGATGGAACACTTATGGGAACCTTTTAATCAACCTTTCTGAGCTGCTCAGGTTTGGTTTTGTTGCTTTTGTTCTGGGGGCAGGATCCTGGCGGCTCTATCAGAGTCTGTGTCACGCTGGGGCCGAGACCTGCAGAGCTCTGAGTCAGGGGGCACTGCTTTCCTCCCTCGGCCGCACCCACTGTGGTGATTTTAATTGTGTTGGAAAGGGGAGCCTTGCTACTCTCTGGTCCCTCTTTTCAGCAGATGGTTTTGTTCACCTCTGTTAGCTGCAACTGTGTCCTCACGCTCAGTGTGCGGTTGAATGACCCCTTGGAAAAGAACCACGTTCTTTCTGTTCGGCTGAACTTTTCCCAGGGACCTTCCGGCAGGAGGCAGTGCAGTTACAACGGGCAGGTAACTGGTCCCTGAAAGCTGGTGACGTTCGTGAGCTCTCACTCATCTTGGAATGGAAGGAAGGTAGGGGTCATCCCCTGGAAGATGGGGTCATCTGGTTTTCTGCCATGCAGAGGGCTTGCTTAGTACCAATAGGCCCTTGACAAATGAATTTCCTTCCCTTTGCTCCCCCACGGATGGAGCTGGCATTAGAACACCATGCTTCTCCCTCCACTGCTGCCTACAGGCCACCTTCACACCTGAGCCCTGTCCTGGCGCCTTGCAGAGGGAGCCCCTGCCTAGGTAGGACTGAACTCGTAGAACAGTCTCTTCTCCTAGCTGTAGCCATGCAGCCTGAGCCCAGGGTCCAGGCTGCTGTGCACCAAGCTGGTGGGGCCAGCGCAGCTGATAGGTGAGGAGAGCCTTCCGCTTATAGCCGGACTCCTCCCTGCTCCTGGCAGGCCCCACTGTCTTCTTCCTCTTCCCTCCCCAGAGCCGAGTCCTGCTAGGTCTGAGCAGTGTCATTAGGACAACAGGCTGAGTGTAATGAGCTGCTCTTGTGTGCTTTCCAATTTCCTGGCAACAAAGACTGATTAGGAAGGCCTACCCCCCAGCTATAAAGACTTATTCGTTCTTTCATTTTTTTATTTGTTTTATAAATCTTTCTTCCACAGACTATTGAATGGGGTTTGGTGCAGCTGAACCCCTGCTGCTTCAGTACAGACAATGTAACTCTCTCCCAGCTGTTGTGCTGGGCTGTTGACCTTGTGAGGGACATGGCTAAGCCACCTCCATTAAACCTGAACTTCTCCACAATAGGGCTGCAGGTCCCCAGACCTGGCTATTAAAGGCTAGCCGTTGTCTTCAAGGTGACAGGCCCAGAGCCGTTGGGCAACTCGGGGAGACCTGGAGGCGCCACAGTGCCTGAGTGAGAGTGGGCGGGCTGCAGGCTTCTGCAATGCAGGCATGGCTTGTGCCAGCAGGCTGCTGCTGTGGCCCAGAGGTGTGGGCTGTACCAGCACTGGTCCCACAGGTGAACTGGGGCCAACCACTGTTGCCCAAGGGTAGGGAAAGAGAACCACTCCTAGGGAGGGACAGATAGCCAAGACATCCTTGGCCTTGCCCTCCCAGCCAACTCGGGACCTGGGCTCTCCTGAGGTCCCCTCTGTGTTCTCCCTCTTGCCACCTAGTATGGGGAACCCTATTCTCACAATATGGGCAGGACTGGGTGGTTGGTTTGCTTGAGTTGCTTCCTTTAGACTCTCTCTATGAAAGGCCCGGAAGGAATAGCCAGCCCCGTTTTCTGCCCGCTCTGTTCTAGATGGGCAAGCCACGGTCTCCAGGCCAACCTTCAGTATTTCTTTTTATCCAGCTTTCTGGGCAGACTTGGCAGCCAAGAGAGCCTCCTCCAAACTGCCCAGTAGATTCCTGTGGCCACAGCCCCTTCCTCCCCCAGCACCTGTAGACAGAAGGAGGCCCATCCCCGAAGTCCCCACCCCACCAGCCCTTGTCCACTCCGCCCAGCCGGTGAAGGCACCTGGCTCCTCAGCCGGCCAGGGAAGTGTAAGGCAAGAGAGGTTACCAGCTGGCTCGGCTCCAAGGGCCTGGTAGCAGAGCTTTTGTACAGACAGAGGGCAGTTTCCTGAGATGGCAAAGCTTGTCCTGATCAGGGAGCATATGGAAGCCTGACAGGTTACAGTTCCCAGGGCAGAGTAGGCAGTTGCCGCCATCTGCTTCAGCAGGGAGGAGAATGCCCCTCCCTGCAGGACCCCATGAGCTGGAGGAGAGAGTGGGTAACTTAGCCCTGGCACACTATCCAAGCTGCCACCCTGTTGCCTAGCTGCATGCATGCATGGCAGCCTCAGAGCCGGGAGCTACACTGCTTTCAGCTCTGATCAGCCCTTCTGCTCCGGGCTCGGTCCCCACGAGCTGTGAGTGGCCCACGTCACGTGCCTGGAAGCGCCAGGCTGGGGCACGTGAATGAGCTGCCACAGTGCTGGA